TTTAAAATTTGGTGGCACAAGGTTGGCAAATGCCAAATTTGGCAACTACTACAACATGCTACTAGAACTGCTGTTTTTGTTCAAGCTGCCAAATTATGATTTTGACAACTGTTTTAGCAATTCATCGGAGATGCTCTTATATAAAACATTTTTAACAAAAATTTGTTAACAGGGATGTTTTTAATATAAATGAATAAAACTTTATTTTCAAACACGTTTTTAGTTGCTTTGGGCTGGAGCTCTGCTGTGGGCTCTGCTGCCAACCCACTTAGGGCCTCGTTTCGGGGTGGGGCTTTCCGGCCCGGGTCGGTTGGGGCAGGGGCTATCCCACATCGGATAGCCAGTTGGGTGTGTGTGTGTATATTACATCCAAACTGGGCTTGCTTTTTTGAAGGCGAGTTCAGTGTTGGCTCTGTGGTTCAAAACACGTTTTTAGTTAGGAAAACAAATTAATAACCCTGGTCTTATAATTAAATTAAAAACGTGATTACTATAAATAAAAAAAATTATTTGTAAAAAAAATTTATGATAATAAAATATTATTGTTTTAATACAACAAAAGGTTAAAATTTTTTTATTGAAATCTCATTTTTGTGAAGAAACTTTGTTAGGAGTCACATTTTACCTAGTATGGGAATAAACTAAAGGTCTATCATATTATGGGGAATTAAATGGTTTATTTACCTTATTCATTAAAATCGACCAAGGTTTCGATAATTTTGATCTAATGTGGTCAAAACAACAAATTTGATTGTTTATTTACCTTATTCATGAAAATCGACCAAGGTTTTGATAATTTTGATCTAATGTGGTCAAAACAACAAATTCGAGAATGCTAGTGTATTGAAAAAAGTACGTTAAATGAGTTAACGCATATAGACGGATGATTGAAGTTGTAATAAAATTAACAGATATATGAATTTTTAATTTTTTGAATTTTTTTATGAGGTGAAAAAAGTTAAAATATGTCTGAAAATTATTGTTTTAGTTGTAGGAAAAAATGTTAATGACTTTTACATATAGTTTGTTTTTTTAATCTCTACTTTTTGATTTTTTAATAATATTTTGAATTTTTTTTTTTTTTTTTTTTAATTTTTTTTTTTTTTTTTTTTTTTTTGACTTTTGAACTGTTTAAACCTAAAAACTAAGTTTGGGCCATTGCTTCGAAAATGATTGTTAAGTTTTTTTAACAGTATATTTTTAACTATGCACTCAACCCACTAATAAGATTTCGCATATGTTGTAACTTTCTAAAATGTTTTTAGTATAGACGGTTAAAAAAGGAAAACAGAAAAAAGAAAAAGAAAGATCAGTTTAAGCACATCCTTTGTAGCAGTTTCATACTTTTGACATAGGAAAAGTAAAATCGTAGGAAAAGTAAAATCGCACTTTGCAATATATCATTTTGTAAAAATTGAACTTTAGCGTTCTAAAAATAAAAAATAAAATTTGAACTTTAGCCTTGTAAGATAAAAAATTACACTTTGTACTTTATAATTTTGTAAAAGCTTCAATTTGCATTCTTAAATTTTAAAGTTATTGGGGATTATAATGCAAACCAAGGGCAACAAAGAGTAAGGCTACGTATCATGAAAAAAAATTTATGAAAATGATCATGAAAGATTTATGATCTTTGAATTACATTTAAAATAAAACACCACACACTAATCAAGGCAATCCAAAGGTCATAAATTTTTCATGATCATTTTCATGAAAGTTTTTTCATGATCCCTAATTTTTCTCGAAAAAAAAAAGAAAAAAGGTTGGGCCTCCCATTGCTTTCAGCAGCCCAAAAAAAAAAAGAAGCAAAACTGCAACTTTTTACAAAATTATTAGATGCAAATTATTTTTATTTTTTTATTTTACGATGTGCAAAGTGTAATGTTTACAAAATTATAAAGCGCAGAATAAACTTTATAATTGTAAAAGAAAAGTACGACTTCTACATAGTTATAAGGAAGGAGGGGCATCGATTTGGAGAGGGGATCGGATAGGAAAGGATTACAATGGGATGCGCTGGGAAAAGGGCCGATGGTAATAAAGAAAGCAACACTTGTTAGGTTAAGATTTGCAGAGAGAAGAGATGAGGACGAAGGAAATGATAATTCGGTAATTTCGTAAAAAATTCCCACCATTTTATTATTATTTTGCTTCATTCCATTTGTTGTGTAATTACTTTAATTACTATAGATATCTTATTAATTTGTAATTATATTTTACAATAATACTTTGTAGCTCGAAAAAGTTAGCTCGAAAGTGGCTCGAATACCTAAAACGACGTCATTTTGGGTATTCTTTTTTCTTTCTTTCTTTTCTTTTTCTTGCTTTCGAATACAAACAGAGAAAAGAGAAGAGGAGAGAGAGAGAGAGGAGAGAGAGAAGACGCGATGACGGTGATGGCGTAGAAGGAAGATCGACGGTGATGGCAGTGTCTCTCTCTCTCTGTGCCGGTGGCAACACCGGTGGGTATTGCAGATCGCCTCTTTCAAACTCTACTTTCTCTACTTTTTTTATTTATTCTTTTCTAGTAGATCTGGATCTGAAGATGAAGGGAGAAAAAAAATTGTTGATGATGCTGATGCTGATGAAGATGTTGTTGATAATGTTGATGAGAATGTTGTTGTTGATTCTCTCTCTCTCTCTCTCTCTCTCTCTCTCTCTCTCTCTATGTTCCCCAGCTTCTTCTTCTTCTTCTTCTTTAGAAAAATGAGAAAGAAAAAGGAAAAAAAAAATCCATAACGACGTCGTTTTGGATTCGGACCATTCGAGCCTTTGTATTTTCGAGCTATCAATTGGAACTATTATATTTTATCTTCATTTCAATAATTTGAAAATTTTCCTAAAATAAATGGTTGTTAATCATTAAAACAAGATATTATTTTTTTTTACCACTCATTAAGAAGTTAGTGGATTTGTTGTAAGTTAAATTAATACAACAAGATGTTCATACTTCTGGTTAAACTCAAACTCAAACCTCTCTCTAAAAAGTGATATTATTAGGATCTCATGAATTATTTTGGACCCCTTATTTCTTTGGAGCCCTACTTATAAATTTTGAAACCATCAAAATTTATTTTCTCTCCCTAAAAAATACCAAAATTATCCTTGTGAAAACATTCCATCTATTGAATATACACCCTCCACACCCAAAAAAAATCCCTCTTCCAAGACACCCTAACAAAACCCACCAAAAAGAAGAAGAGCCAATGTAATTACTGTCTCTATTACCTCATCCACCATTATCACAGTTAGTATGGTCTCTCTCTCTATATATATATACATAATTTCTTAATTTCTCGTAATAATTTCTTCTCTTACAGGAAAAAAATTATAATAATTAATTTGATTGGTTTTGTTGGTAGATATTATAAAATGTGAATTCAGTAGAGAATTACGCAACAATATTGTCAAAGTTACATGATGAATGAATAACTTTTGAACCTGATAATGGATTTGGACTACTTCCGATAACTTCTGAAAGTATTAAAAATTTTGACCATTCAATGTGTTAATAAAATTTCCATGTTCGGGCATATATTCCCGAACTTGAAAAATGAAAACTTCTGTCAGTATTAACAATTTTGACCGTTCAATGTGTTAAGAATTTTTCATATTCAGGCCTGTATTTTCGAGCTTGAAAAACTGAAAACGTCTGCAAGCAACAATTTTGACCGTTCAATGTGTAGTAAAAAAATTTTCATGTTCGGACCTACATTCCCAAATATTACTTATTTGTTTGGGGATGCCTTCTCGAACAAATAAACAATGTTCGGGCTTGTATTCCCGAATTTCGGTCATAAGTTCAGGAGTTCAGTCCTCAAAAAATGACGAACATATTTTATTATTTTTACTATTTTTTTCAAGAAACTTACCTTTATAAAGTCAATCTCCTCTAAGCTAAGAATAATATCAAAACTATAAACCCCCTCTAAGCTTTTATTATTGTACTCCTCTCGTATTATAGAGTTGTGGTTATTAGAAAAATTTCCACTCATTATCATTGCCGGATAAATGTAAGTGGTCAAATTGTTGCCATTGCTACCACCGAAATATTGTCGTTAATGGATTTTCAAGGTTTTAAGAATTGGTAGATTTTGAAAGTGAGATTTGGAAAAGATGGATCGGTGGTGATGGAGATAGGTGTTCTTATAAACCCTAATTCATGATATAGTGAGTGTAAATTTAATTGTGAGATGAAGTGTCACAAAATTAATGATGTACTTTTTAGTAATTTTATTTGAGATTATTATTGTAATAAAAGAAAGTTAAAAATTGAGAGGTTCAAAATGATTTATAAGATGCTAATAACAACAGTACTCCCTAAAACCTAAGTTCATTTACATCTGCTTAACTACCAGTGCTCTCAAATCATTCTTACTAAGGTTAATAAAAATGCCCTTCTAACTCAAATGCATCAATGCACAGAGATAGTAAACAAAGATCATATTTTTAAGTCACCATTGTTAAGAGTAGTGTCTGAAAATACTAGAGCAATAATACAGAAAGGTAAGAAATTGCATTTTAAAATTTTATAAATGATGTTAGGCTCTGTAATTTGCCTAAATTTTTCTTTAAAAATTAAAATAAAAAAATTATTTTACAGTGGTATGTTGTTTTCCTTGTAAAAAAACAATAGATGGTGGTGATGATAGTGACGGTGATGGTAATGATTATGGAAATAGTGACGTGCATTTTCAAGATAATTGGTAGGGTACATGATTTCTGTTTTTAATTGTTTTCAAAACAAAGCTTAAAAATGAAAATTGAAAAATGCATTTTCACTAATTACAAAAACTAGTAAAAAAGCATATGACATCTGATGATCCGGCCAGATCTGCTTCTTCACTACTAAGGCCTGTTTTGGAAAAATGATAAAAAGTGACTTTTTGACTTTTAACCAAGCTTTTGACTTTTTTAGACAAATAATTTGAAAAATTGATTAAAAGTTGCTTTTAACATTTTTGATTAATATTTATTTATGATATCAAATCACAATAAAATGACCAAACTACCCCCATTAATTTAAAATATTTACAACTTCACTCATGTAGCACATTTTGACCCATAAAGAGTAGAATTATAATTTCACCAGTAGCTAAAAACTAACTTCCCAAATGAGAAAAAAAATGCAAAAAAACTAACTTTTAACTTCTGTTACAAATCAAAAAAAGTAACTAAAAGCCAACTTCCCAAAATAGCCCTAAGGGTAGAAATGGGTAGATATCCTCATTTTAGTATTATCAATGACTGACGGCGCTATATAAACCAGTCAACATTTTAATCACAAAATAGTTCCTGCAAGTTTCAAAACTCATAACAATGTCGTGACAAATAAATTTATAAACAGTGAATTTCGAGTTTTGTTTATATGTTGTTGCAATCTTATGCATTGAAATTGAGATGAAATAGAGGAGATGATTTCTTGCCAGAAATGGAGAGTATCTATCACAATCCTGCAGCAGCAGAACGGTAAATGTAAAAAAACCCAATTCCTATTTCGAACTCTCTGGGGAACAAACAAAATTTTCATGTTTTATAGAAACAAATAAAAAATAAAATAAGAAAACGCATGAAACAGCCCAAGAACCTGAAGAACCTAGAATTACCCCACTTTCCACAGCCTATTTTCATCCACCCTTTTTTCCTTCTTTTTTTTTTTTTTTGTTGCAGTGTTTCTTTTTCACTGAATCAATATAGAAATATCTCCATTTGTACATTGTACATAATGTATAAATGGGCTTTCATACTGGAGAAATTTATTGAGAAATTTTAAAGGAACATTCAAGACCTTGCTCTCTCTCAACCTCTGCACTCAAATAAAACTTTAGTAGGCCATTTACCTAGTGGAGTGTTAAATCTTATTACATTGGGAGAGTGGCCGAACCGTACAGACTTAGCCTCCAGACTTTTTTTAGCACAAAAGTAGAGAATGATAAACTGCAAGACAATAAATTGGTTAAAAAAAATAAAAGTTATGATCTGTGGAAAAAGTTGAACTTGTTTGGTTAGATAAGCTGCCACAGTTTTTTATTGTGCAAATATCCAGAATGCTCTCAAAAGTTATAATTAAGACAAATGAGATGGGTCTCTTTAGTCCATAAATATTTAAGGGTTTCGAATATAAGCAAAATAAATAAATAAAGAAAATTGTAGCTTCAGAAAAGCTCACTTTTTTTGGTTAAACAAGCAAAAATAGTCGAATAAATTATAATTTAAAATAAGAACTGAACACCATTTAAAACAAATGAACTAGACAAGTTAACATGTCAGTGTTACCAAACAGGGCAAAAGGACATTGAGGATGCCTATTCTGGACATGTGTATTTATATTCCAAGCCATTCAGTAGAAACATAAATGAGCTAAATACCAGAAATAAATGAGCTCAGTGATTTCTTTCCCTTTTCCTTCAAGTGGGGGTAGAACCAGGAAATAACCTCTGCTTGCTTTTAGGAAGGAGCATAGAAAATAAGTTCACTAAAGGATTCTAAGAAATCTAACCTCGTCAAAGCCAAAATTGTGAAATCATTAGACATCAATTTAGTTGCAATCTGTTGTAGTGATCTGCAGCTATTGATAATGATTGTATAGAAACAGAGAAGCCCGGACCCATCTGCATTAATAAGGTAGAAAAATACAATGACGCAAGCAATAAATTGAACAGTATACACAGGGCAAGCAACAATGATTTAAGGACAGCTAATAAGCATTGGAAAAGCTATTTACTCTACCATTTAAAGATAATTTATTATGTATTTTACAAATGCAACAGATCAATGTTTAAAATCTTAATTTGACTTTGCTAGTTGGCTCCACCCAATTAGAAAGAGTTACTTGAGGGGAACACAACACTCTTCAAGTTTTTGTTCCAACTCTGTTGACTTGCTGCGTCAGCAAATACTAAACCAAGTTGAGTAGCCCAACACATACATCAATTAAAAAACAAAGAACATGGCTCATTAAAGTTTCAAAATCATTAAACCAGGTCGAGTAGCTCAATAGATAAATCATTTAAAAAACAAAGAATATGGCTCTTTAAAGTTTCAGAATCGTTTGATGGATATATTACTTTCTCAAAACTTTCTTAGGCAACTTAATCAACCATTGCTAATCAAGAATAAAAAATTTATCTAGTTCAAAACTAAAGAACCATTATAATGAATAAATGAAGAATACAACAAAATCAAAACCAGGCTGTGGTTTTGACCAGTGTTTTAAAAGGCATGCCTAAGCGCGTGCTTGGGTGCACCTAACACGCCTCGGACAGCTTGAGGCAGTGCACTGTAGGAAAGGCGCATCTGAGGTGCACACCTTAGGCTCAGGCGCGAGCACGGCGCACGCCTCATGCACTTCACTTAAAATTTTCCTTCATCCTTATTTTGTGTGTGTAGCCACAAGGAATCACAGCCCCTTTAATATTATATGTAAATACATACTTTGAGCCCCAATTTTCATATCAAAAAATGCCCTGGGCATTGAGCAAAAGCTTTAGAATTACAAGATGGATATGACTTCGGGATTCTTTTCAATGTACTGAATTATGACAGTTTCGGGTCAATGATTGAATCTATCGGACAATTTGGTCCAGATTTAAAATCAAAACTACTAAGTTACTATATGGTGCGAGTTCCTTATCTCAAAAAAGAAGTGAATCATGCCAATAAATTGATGAAGGAAGACAGATAGTATTATGTAAAGTAAGGTTGACTGTTATATTTGAGAAATTTTCGAAATGTTGAATTTTATTTTTATGGTTTTTGGAATATTGAATGTCCTATGTTTTTTTGAAATTCTAGAAATATTTTTTATTGAAATCTTTGCCTGTATTACAATTTCGCATATCTTCTACAACTTGTGCCTTGCGTGCCTCACTTTGGTGACGAATGCGCCTCGCCTTGCGCCTCATGCTTAGGCTCCAAGAGACCTTAGCACCTCAATGCACCTAGAGCTTTTCTAAACACTGGTTTTGACGCATTACCTTTCTATTTCATCATACTTTCATGCAGTATTTTAATGAAAAAGTAAATTTTAAAAAGTAACTTGACTTTTTTATCCCAAAAAAAAAAAAAAGGGGTTGCATCGTTGAGTTGACACAACAAATGACATTTTGTGTGAAGTATAGATTATTGAGAGAGAGAGAGAGGGTGGAATACATATAGAGAAAGAGAAGGGGAAAGAAATACAAAATTAAAGCTGAATAAGAAAGAATGCTGTGTTATATCCAGTTCTCATTCATATCAAAAAGCTGAATAAGAAAGTTGTGAGGAAAGCACCAAAAGAGGATGCTGCCCATGTGCAATCTCAAAAAGACAACATATTGATAAAGAAGCCATCTATCAATCGCTTACTGTTACTACTAAAAAATCCAACTATACATAAGGGAACAAAATTCTACCTGTCAACTTTAAAAGAGGTTCCTCCATTCCTTCAAAAAACCTACGACTCGGTTCTGCCCAAAACAAATACAATGTAGCATAAGTTTCATAATACATCAAGAAAATCCGTGTGGTATCTCTATGCTGTTTAGCTCATCTAGCTAAAACAAGGCTAAAATCATCATCCAAAGATCTCTAGCCACATTCCAAAGAAAAATATGATTGACCAACTCTGTCCAGTGAACACAAACAACACCAATTCACCATAACATGGCACCCGCCAAGCATATTATCAATAGTGAGGAGTGGACCTTCTGATGCACCAACATCAAACAAAGAACCCTACTTCAAATGTGCTTTTAGGGATCAAATCCATTTCCAGGGGAAAGATGAATTGTAATGCTGCACCAAACCCATCTCATAGAATCATCACATCACCAATTTTAAGTACCTTACAACCTCTTATCAGACTCTTGAACTCTATGACCAACCAATGTTGCAAATATCTTCTAAGAGATTTGTTTCTCAAAGGGAAATGCTATGGCATGAACCCCCTTAAAGGTGCATAGTACACCCTGTGCACATTGTTACGTACTTTTTTGGTACATGTTACGAATCTGTGGCATATGTTATGCAATCTTTTGGTGGAGTTATGAAAATATGTGGTTTCTTAAATGAAGTTACAACAATTTGTGATATAGTTACGAAATTCTTACGTCATGTAGTGAATATCGTAGAGTAACCCTATCTCAAAACACATATTGCCCCTCCCTTCAACAACAATCAACCATGAGAACATCCCCATCAACCATAATACAAAATAGAGCCAATAAAGACACCTTTAACTTCTCTCACCAACAACATAAATGCCAAAATTTCAAACTCCTCCCAAACAACCAATGTAATATTGTTTAACAACACATCCCATCCTTCTCAAATTCCATCCAAAGGCTCTTATTGTAAAACCTAGAAACTTCCATGTATGTTCAATTCCTCGACAAGCCACCATACTTCAATGAAACCACCGTCAAAGATCTAGCATGCTTACGAGTAAATCGCCAAAGCCAATTCCTCATAAGTTTGTGGTAAAAAAATCTTGGACCTTCTACTGCCAAAGCCACCCTCTCTGAAATCTCAACCATTTGTCCCCAAACAATATCCCAAATCACCAAATGATATTTAAAACCTCAACCATTTGTCTCCAAAGAAAATCTCTTTGTAACTTTCCAAGCCTTCAGCAACCAAAGCAAGGATGGTGAACAAAGACAAAGTATGTGGGCCAACTCACAAGTTTTCTTCTAATCCACATAAGATACCCCTTTGAACAAGTATTGCCACTTCCATCAAATCCATATCCAGTACGCCTTGATGGAAAACCCAAATAAGGACCCTAGGGGAGTTAGCACTACCTTTTGGTTGATTATGATTTAGTGAGATACTTGTGGAGTTTATTGTTTTGAATTTTTGGTGTATCCTTTTTTCATAAGCAAATTTTATTAAAAAGAAAAACAAACACCTTCAAGGGGGCAAACCCTGTACACTCGAAAGGTCAAGGACTATAATCTATACATTCATTGGCACATAGAAATGACCTATAAACTGCACAAACGAAGAAACAACAATCATCTATTAAACCGGGGGGGGGGGGACTATAGCGACCCCGGTTTTCCCCTTTTTTTTTTATTTTTTTATTCTGGACTCGGTTCCGTGATTGATGGTTGTTGTCTGTGTTGCATTTCCATCCTTTAACTCTTAGTAAGTGAGTTTAGAAATGTTTTGGGCGTGTTTTGAACAGGTTGGTTGAGCTTTGGTCTCAAGTGTTGTTGCCTAGGTTTTAGATGATCCGCTCGAGCGGAGTCCGCATACTTTCAGTATTTTGTGCCTCTGCAAAACTTCTGCAGGTGCGTTTTTCACACTCGAGCGGGCCTCTTGGCGTTGGCGCTCGAGCGGATGTGCAATGTCTGTAAAAGTACTAGATAAGTGAAATCTACGCTCGAGCGGGCTTTCTTTTGCGCTCAAGCGGGTGTGTTTTGTTTTTGTGTCTTGGCGCTCGAGCGGGTTCAGTTTTTGTGTTTGACGCTCGAGCGTCCTATTCTCCGCTCGAGCGGATCACACGTATATCAGATCTGGACTGTGATATTTCGAATCACTTTTTACACTCTCTCTCTCTCCTACTTTTCAAAACCCTATTTTGAGAACCTCTCTCTCTAGAACACACCTTCTCTCTAGGTTTGATCTAGTTTGAGTGATCTTCCACCCTAGTGCCTTTGTCAAAAGTGTAGAGCTCGGTGTGGGCTTCCTATCAATCCGAAAATCTTGAGGTTTGGAGCATTTCGAAATTCTTCATCTTCTCCATTTGAGCTCCAAATTTGAGGTAGGGATTTCCTTGTTCTTTTACAATGCTTCGTCTATAGATAGACATGTGATAGTTTTGTATTGCATGAAAATTATATCCATGTTGGGTTTGTTTGAAAACCATGGGGATGAACCTAGGGTTGGTTGTTTGAAAATTGGTTTGTTATCATTGATGGTGATTTGGACTAATTGGGGTGTAAATTAGTATGTTAACGTTGATAGAAGAAAAAGCCCTAATTTATATTTGATTTGATAAATTAAAAGGAGTTTTGTACTTTGGGCCAATACATATGTATTTTGGGTCTCAAATGAGATTATTGTTAATTATTGTTGGTATTTGAGCCCCTTTTGGGTCAATGTTAAGAAAGAGGGAGAAAGCCCTAATTTTTTATGAATTAATTTGCATAATTGATTTGGAAAATTATGAGAAGAACGGTATTGGTTTTATGAAATGAAAATGGGGTTTTGGAATTGGAAAATCCTGGAAGTCAATCTTGGAAATGGGAAATGAAATGTTAACTCTATGTGAGTTTTAGAAAATGAATATGAGAATTGAATTGTTGAATCTTGAGTGTTGAATACGCACATGTGGGAAAAATTGTTGTTGGATTTAAGATCTCATGAGAATTGAGTTTTTATAATAGATGTACTAAAATCATGCATCTAGAGGTTCTGTCCTTGGTCATCGATGGAGGATGACATGGTTGTGTTGAATTGTCGTGTATGCATTACACCTGTGTTGATTGAACATTGTATGTAATGAAGTGCTATTGTACATTATATATGTATAAATTGTTAGGGAGGAGAAAGGGAATGTACTCCAGTGTGTGGGAGGAGATAGGGGATGTACTCCACACATACTTATGTGTTCATATATTTTAACACATTGCTTATATATTTTGATAGTTTATGTGTACGTATTACACTTGTTGGTTATACTCTGTTGTATGGTGATTCTTGGTGTTATACCCTGCGCTTATAATCAGAGGTACCATTACCTTCCAGCTAGCGCCTGGAGAACTGACTACGCTGAGAATAGAAGGTACCACACCCTTCCAGCTAGCTCCTGGTAAAATGACATATTTTTGTTAGAGTTGTATCATTGGCTTACTGTGCATATAGCCGGTAGAGCAGAGTTTTTATTGTTTTGTCTCAGTGTATCTGAGTATATCATAGATTGTGATGGTTATAGTTTAGGAGGGCCTAGTTGCCTCAATTGTTAATTTTATACATGTTGGTGATCTGTTATCTCCCTTTTATTGAAAGCATGCATGTATAGTTATGGATGTATTGAAAACAAACCAAAATGCCATTGTGAGATTTTGGAAAAGTGTGAAGAAAAAATTGGATATTTGAAAGTATATTTTGAAAAAGGGAATATCTGTTGTAAGTATGGAAAATGTGAGAAAGATAATGGGCTTAGAGAAATTGGTTTCCTAAGAAGTTGTTATTGTTGTAAAAGTTTGGGAACAAGGGTTAATGAAATGAAATGAAAGATAAATCGCTTATAGCGCTGAATGGATTGACTGTTTTGAGAAAAGCTTATACTTATGTATACTTTTGTATAAACTGCCACATTATTATTCTAGTACGAGATTGAGCATTCATGATCATAGCTATCTGTAAATTGTTATTGTTGAGAATCATGTAGAGATCCCTACTGGACTATATGTTCATCCCACATTGTTGAATCTTTTTCAGGTGTTAAGCAGGTTGTGTTACAAGATGTGGATCTTCTTACTTGTTGGCCACGGGGCCTCTTTTGTGTTGGCGGAATGCCATATATGTAAAAAGGTACACCCTTCTTTGATTCTTTAATGATGTACGCCTTCGGGCATTTTATTCAGTATGCTCATGTTGTATTTAATTTGCAATCGGATGAGAGAATTGTTATTCACTTCTATTCATGGGACTGAAGAGTTTATTTCCGCGTGTTATCTCTGAACTTGAATTAAGCTAATGAATTTGGTAATGACTTCGAGTAATAAAAAGTGGGGCGTGACAGGAGGGGGGGGGGGGGGGAGGGGGAATAGAGAAAGATCTTTTCAATTTACTAGCTGGAAGCTCTATACCATCAAAGCACATCCTGTTACATTCCCTATTAACTGTCCCAAAAAAAAAAATAAAGCTACAGTCTGCCATGCCTTCTTCCCAACTTCATCATGATTTACCATGTTAAAAATGGTTGTGTATATCTTTACAGTTTATATGATTGATGTGTTCATACCTTACAATTCATTGAACATATTTTGAACTAAAAAATTTAATTAAAAATCAAATTAAAAAATTGGTAACCTTCTTTACGAGTTTGGCCTATTCAACCCCTTCAAGGTACAAACTTGTGTGCTTCCACTATTTGAAACCCTTTAGTAACCCAACCCCTGATCAACAAGAGCAATGACCTTCCAAAAGTCCACAAGACTCTGCAGAAAGTTTCCAACTAAAATCATTTATGTTGTCCACGAAACAAAGCAGGGGAGAACAAGAATATACTAAAGGTGTGGGGCACAAGCAATAGAAGAAGAAAGGAAGAATGGTGACTATAATTACAATTCTGCGCATTCATGATTGAGATGTGTCAAGGATGGGAAAAGCTATGAGACTTCTTCCACTAGACTTGGCAGGCACCAACAACCGTCACTTAGGGAATTCTATCTCAAAAAATTTACATGGTTGCCATTGACCAAAGAAAGCTACATACCCTCAATAAGAAAACATC